CAGCGTCTCAGTTGAGCTCAGGTTCCCCCACCCTACCATGTCACCCTGAGAGCAGGCACAGAGAGGGGTAACTCCCCTGGCCCCGCATTGCTGCTACTGCTGCTGTCAGTGTCCCAGTTGAGCCGAGACCCTGACCAGCCTGACTGGAATGGGCAAAAGTGGTTCTGAAGTTTCCCTGTCCCCAGGACAGCCGGAAAGCAGCAGCGGCTGATGAGGGAAAGGGAGGGAAGGAAGTGGGATTCTCATCCACTTTGGGGACTTAAAAAAAAGTCCCCAGAGGCTCCCATGGCATATGCCATTCTGAAAGGGGGGGGGAGACAGCTGTGCCACTGCACCCCCTCTGGATGTACCCATGTTCTCCTAGGAGAGAAGAGGATATAGCCTTAAATCCCTTCAGAAAAAGGAGGAAATTGAAACCAAGTCTTTCACATCCCATGCAAGTCATCTAACAACTGAGTTATTATATTAACGTTTAAGGTAAAAATGTGGGGGGAGGGTGGAAGCTTTTGAAGATAGCACTTGAAATGCCCTTTTGAAGAGATACTTCTTGCTTGGGAATCCCAACTGAAAGGAAGCTCCTGTCCAAAGAACAAAATAAGGCTCCTAAATATGATATGGGAGAAATTTAAGACACTTCCCTGTCCTCAGCATTTCCCAGCACTTATCCTAACTCCACTTCTGGCTTGCAGGATTTTGAGAATCCCATTCTGGGGTGCCCTGTATGGTGAATTTAGATGCCTCACTTTGGACTGTAGATTCCACAATGGGGATAGAATGGCTTAATATCCTGTTGTGAGAGGGGGGCTGTCTGGAGGTTGGTCATGACCTTGGCTTGTCCACCTGTCTAGGGCAGTCCACCCACCTGACTTTCCTGCCATGCCTTTGTTGGGAACTAAAAAATTGTGCATAGACAGGAGGCTCCCCATTTATTGCCCAATGCCACGGGCATAATATACAGCTCCAAACCACCCCTACACCATGTCCCATGCCTGGCAGATGGCATCCAAAGTCATTTCCAACTCCTCTGGCCCCTTAGCTTGGGCCTCCAGCCCAAACTTGGCCTCAGGTGTCCTCATACGTGCCGAGGCCACTACTCCACCCCTTCACTGGGGCCACTACTCCAGCTGGCTTATGCATAGACCTTCAGGCTCCCACAGACCCTACTTTATGTGGCCTCTGGCTTTCTGTCCCACACCAGGCTGAACTCAGCTTATAGCCCCTCTCTGGGCCACTAGTCTGCCCCCTCACTGAGGCCGCTGCTTTGCCCCCTCACTGAGGCCACTTCTCCAACCCCTCACTGGGCTCCTGGGCCTTATGGCCCTTGGGCCTCAGCATCTTCTTCAGTGGCCCTTGGCCCTGTGTCAGGGCACATTTTATGGGCCTGGACTCTGCCTCATGCCCCACTCAGTGGACCCTGTGCTTTTCTGTTAGGGTATGCTCCCTAGCCTTTACTCTCCACAGGGTACCCACAAGGTAGTGGGGGATGAGGCTTTCTAGTGCCCCATCCTCGCCTTTCACTGGGGAGGCACAGGTGTGGCATTTCCTGGAGACTGCCCTGCCAGAAACAGCCCTACCACATCATCCAACCCCAGCAGTGTGTAGTTTCAGGTCATGCCCCAGGACCAGGAACCTCCTGTATCCCCACAAGTTCCTACCCTGGCCTCAAGGTATTTTGGGAACTGCAGTCTGCAGGCTGAGTGCAGTTGTACCTCTGGCTCCCTAGGTGTAACTGCCAGGTCATCTCCTAGGGCCTGGGCTTAAACTGCGGCTATCCAGCCCTCATCCAATCTGGGACCCTGTTGCAGTTATGTGACCACCCAATTAGGCCTAACTGCACCTGCCAGCTGCAACACAGCCTGCTCAATCCCCTTAAAGTGGCAGGCACCAAAGGTGTCCCACCACACCTGTATTTGAAGAACTGTGAAAACTCAGTCTCTAAAAATAATTATTTCCTAGCAAACAGCTAATAACCCTGTTACTTTGAAGTGCCAAGTGACTCTTATAACAAGGGGGATTTGTCACCTGTTAAAATATGTTGGAAACTCAAGAGATTTCATATATTTCAAGATCAAGCTCTATTAGAATTCAATGTAACTACAGTTCTGTAAGTACTGAATGTTCACCTGAAGTCACAACTGGTTTGTGGGTTTCTCAGGAAATGGTTTCCTACTGTCCTACAAACTAATCAGTGATGAAACAAAACACTTTCTTTGTTCCAATGAATTTATTGTGAAATGGTGTGGCTAAACATTAAGCCAGTCAGGGTCTGTCTAAACATGGATGGTTTTCAGTTTAACTTCTCTGGTACTCACAAAGCTTTCGTACCATAGCTTGCATTTAGTCATCAGTGTGTTAATAAAACACACTATTAAAATTAAATTAATTTAAAATCTCAATATTTGAGGCATTATTCCTTTTAAACCAAGTTTGAGGTGTGCTGGACACATTAATCTGGAGCAGCTCTCCTCACTGAATTATTAGTAGTCCACATTGTACATTTCATTGTAAAAAATTGCATTCATGATGACAAAGGGATGGAGTGACAAAACCAAAGGAATTTTTGGAGGGGAAAATTGTTTGCTTTGTATAATTCACAGTGCAGTGCAATTAAACAGCTGTGATGTGAACCTCCATGTGTTACCACCCCCAATTACTTTAACCCAGAGATAGATGAATTACTGTTTTTTGATGCAAGTGGTCAATCAATGAAGCTCTGGTCTCTGCAAAACTGAGAATACCAGGCACCTGTTATATCACTTGTGTTCTCAGCTGAACGGATACCAGTAAATTCATTACATTTAGGATGCAGTTCTATTTCCAGTAGTTAAAGGAAAGAAATTGAAAAGATCTGGGGCAGCGTGGGGCAGGCAGTGGCAGGGAGGAGACCCCTGGCACAGATCTTTGCTCCCAGCAAAGCCAGGTCACGCAGCGGGGCAGTGCTGGTCCCTGCTGCACAGCCTAGCTCCACAGGGAGCAGAAATCCACACCAGGTTCTCCGCGCCACTGCTGCCCGCCCCACGTGGCCCCACGTTGCCAGGGCAGTGTGGGGCAGACAGTGGCAGTGAGGAGACCCCCAGCGCGGATCTCTGCTCCCTGAAGAGCCAAGTCACATGGCAGGGACCAACCATTTGTTAAAACACTTTCATCTCATTAAACTGGTCTCTAATTCCCTTTTAATCCTGCTGCCACAACCATTTTTAACAGATTCTTCTGCAACCTGCTCACAACAAAAAGAAAGCTATAATAATCTCTGGAATGTATTATGATTTAGCGTTTAGCAGAAGGCACGGTAGAGATAACCTTATAAGCAGCTACACAAGAGCAAATGATTCAGAGGTTTCCCATTGAGACCAATTTCTTATTGTCTAAATATAAATTATGGTATCTCACCTTTAAATAATATGTTTGCTAACTCTATTGAATTGATTTGTTTGGTTATGATATTAAATTAGTCAGTGGATCCTTTCCTCCTTGCAAATGTTACTTCTGGGATAATTTTGACTTTTTTTTTCAGTTAACGTGTTTTTCCTTGTGATGAGCTTTTTGCAATTCTCAACCATTAGACATTCAGTTTAACTAGCCGTACATTTGCTAATCTCTGGGGAGTATCTGGATATCATTAAAAACATTTTATACTCTTCAATTCTATTTTAAGAATACTTCATCTGCCTATTGATTCTGTATTCTTCATATTATAAAAGGCTTTGGGATACTCAATCAGGTATCTACATAATTTTGCACAGAAGTGTGTATCAGGCTAGGCAGATAACTTCTGAATTAGTCTTCCCTTCAAACTCAAGTTATTCTATTTAAAAACCATACTAAAGATGAAATGCCCCTCCAGCCCCCTGCCAATAGCGCTGGCAGCATCTGTGGGAGCTCCTCACTTACCACCACTGGGCTCCAACCATCGCTACCACGCTCCTGCCACCGCCGTGCTCCCCCAGCCACCAGGGGCACATAGCATTCATGCCCTTTCCTTCCCCATCCACTTATTCAGAAATTGCTCCTATTTTTCAGGAAGTCCATGAGACAGCTGTTTCTATAAAGTCCTTTGTATTGAAGCAAGTCAATAAGCATATAACACCGTTAGACTGGACATTAGGAAGAACTTCTTCACAGT